AAGCGAGGCTTCATCATCAGACCAACAAAGCAAGGTTTCATCTTCATCAAATTCCTCAAACTCAAGCCAAAGACTCACAAATACATTTCTGTAATCCGGGGACAGTTTACGGATATCTTTGATAGAGTTAAGGGTGCGAATAATTATACTTTAAATTAGATGTGTATTCGGCTGATATTCTTAAACTTGGGATGGGAGCAATTGGAAAGATACAATAAAGGGTTTTTACCGTGAGGAAAATATAAAAAGCGAAAGCTTAGAAAAAATCGGTGCTTGGGTAGATCATAGAGACTTTTTCCTCTACTGAGTAATGGGAAGGAACTGTCTTCTATGGGTTGGGGCCCGACAGGCTAAATAAGCAGGCAATGGTCTTTTCATTGCTTTTTCTCCCTTGAAACAACCGTTACTCTAGTATTCATTATATTGTTTAATTAGCTGGCCCTTACTCTCAATATTCATTTTACAAAATAATAAAGAATTACGCTTTGACCTTGTTTAATTATGCCTATGCATGCTGAGTAATTTTTCTTCATTATCGAGTAATTTTTCTGGCTTTGCTGATAGTTATTCTATAAACTACGGTTTGAATCGATTATGTAACCTAGCTTGCATATCCACATACCGTATACCACTGATTTTCCTCACAATATAGCAGTTGAGCCAATAGAATTTCGCAAAAAATACCATATATGTCGCTATGTCTATTACTCTCATATGCCTCGTTAAAGGAAATACTTTCGCTAACGCTTTCGTCGTCGATATTGATAGTAACCAGCTTGTAGGCCACCTCAAAAAAGTTATCAAGGCGGAAAAACAAAATGACTTCGCTGGTATTAACGCAGACAAGCTCAAGCTATGGAAGGTAGAAATCCCTGGTAATCACGACGATCAGTTGAGGAACCTTTCACTCCAGGACAGTGACGAGCTGTTAGCAATAAGAAAAATTTCGAAGTACTTTCCTGTAGCTCCTCCTGAGGAACATATCCATGTCATCGTAAAGTTGCCACGTAAGTGTTAGGTATAACGTATATATCAGGTTTTTCTTTTGTGTAATATTTACTCAACGCGTCTCCGTTTTCTAGTTCTTAGTCTGGAAGAGGCGCTGTCGTGTATTCCGCCTCTTGTTGTATATTCTTTAAGAGGTACTTCCTCAACAAGTTCTACAAATGCAGTTGGTGATCCGCCGATAAGAGTAGTGCTTTGGGAAGAATTTTTTAATGAAGTGAATGAATATCGCTTCGACCAACAGCCCAGATTTGAGAAACCACAATTTGTGATGGGCTTCAAGGTGGTTAATGAAGAAGTCATTCGTAATGCAGTGAATGTCAATATTTGTATGGTATTAAACCTCCTAACGGGGCCGGATTACGATTTTTCAATGTTGCCAGCTGACGGAAATGGAGATCCAGATTTTACTTGCTACTATGATCAGAATAACAAACATGAATTGATCCTGGCAATTGAGATCAAGGGAGTACACATTTTAGGAGGTATCAATGGGAGAACATTAGCAGAGTTTTACAGGACAAATTCTAATGCAAAGAAGGTAGTCCAGCAAATTTATAACTATATGTCCGAAAATCAGCTTCAATATGGTTTACTTTCAACCTACGATAATCACTGGTTTATACGCCGACCGAAAGAGATACCATCAGAGCTCCATATTTCAAAAACTCTTCCATTGCAATCGACATATCCACCAGTGCTCAAGGCATATGCGTATCTAGCTCGAAAAGCAAAATGTGATTATTTTTCTCGCCACCCTCTTGTAATTCCACCAGTGAACCAATCTGGGGATGAAAACCGGAATGAAGATCAGAATAAAAATCAAGATAAAAAACCGGAAAACCATGGTACTAGAAATAATTCACGCTATAGTCTTCGACCGAATTATTCTTATGGCTCAAGTGAACAATCATCTACCTCAGAAACAAAGCAAAGAATAAACATGCTTCAGAATTTTTACTTTACGGACTTCGAGTTTAAGGGTATATTGGGCACTGGACAAAGTGGAAAGACACTCCGATGCAAATTCCGCGGCGAGATGATTGCTTTAAAGAGTATAGATTTATATAAGAGGGCGAATTTTTTAAATAAAATGGTAAAAGAAGTTGAAATCTATAAAGATCTTGCGGACATTCAAGGGAAATATATCCCAAAATTGATGTGTTATGGCTACTACGGAGGAGGGTTAAGCTTCATTATGGGCATGACTATCGTTGGTACTACGTTGAATCATCATAAAATAACGAAACAGCAGAAATTAATTGCACTCGGTGCGCTAAAGGCAGTTCATGGTCATGGTATTCTTCACAATGATATTCGGGAGGAAAACATCTTAGTTAATGATAAAGGTGCCATGTACTTGATTGATTTTGGGATGGCGAATCGGGCGGACTTAAAAAAGAAGAGAAATCTGTTTAACCAAGAAACACTCGAATTATCTAGTTTACTAGATCGTTATACCGTGTAAGAATTTCCTGTATTATATGGTAATTTATTGTATCTTTAATTTGTATCATTTATAAACATGCATTTTAATGCTTTGTACTAATCTCGCCCGATAATTTTAGACATTTTGCAAGAAATGTGGGCGAGAATATATCCCCCTTTATAACGGAGATTACAGTCTAGAATTTTGGATAATGTAAAATCTTTTATGGTAATAAAATCTCTAATAAAAAAAGGAAAGATTGGATCGCAATATTAAAATAGTTTGTCAACGGGTACAGAAAAAACAATCCTAAACGTACGGCTTAAGGGTTAGTTAATAATGAGGTTAGAATTCAACTTCCGTCGGTTAGCCAAAGCTTACTTCGAAAAACGAAAGAGCGGGCCCAAAAAATTTATGCTTTATTTAGTGAGATCGGGGTCGATGAAATCAAGCGGATTCGGACCTTTACAGCGGTAACCTTAACTAGTATTTCTCAGAAGGATATAGATTATGTTCTGGCCAAACTTTCACTTTCGTAATATTCAAACATATTTGTGGTCACGTGTCGTTATGATATTATATCACGATCCATGCATAATAAAATTTACGCTGTTTACTATGGTTGATATCTTGTTGATCGATGTGTGATGGGTATAGTACATACGGGTAATTATTTTCGAAGGCGGACAGGGATTTTTCGGACCTTATAATTGTGATCCTAAAATTTGCATTATATACGTATTATTAAAAAATGGGGGCCGAAAAAATCATATTTAATATTTTGATCACCTTCAATCATATAATACACCCGAAATAGATTTTGTGTCAGATATGGAACTTTTATGGCAATATTTTACCGAATTTGAATCAAAAACGTCGATGCGATGTGCAATAAAAAAATTCGCTTTATTGCAACAATAAAATATATAGGCACACAGATGCCGGATACGTCGGTATAAATTTGTCGTTTATAAATGTCTATTGTCTGCGAAGCAAGGAATTCTGTATCTAATAGGCATAGATTAAACGGTGATCCAAAGGATCGAGTATTCGAGTCTTCGATTTTGTATAAGTTTCGCCGGTATTAAATCATAATAATAACCTTCATCATCGTCATCAGAAAAACCACAGAAACTCCCATCTTCTTCGTTATCATTGGTGAATTCATCGTCATCGGAGAAATTTTCTGACTCATCGTCGGATAAAGCAGTAATTAAAGATTGTGGTTTGTTATTATTGGCATTTGTATCACTTACTTCGCTTACCTCGGTTCCAGTAGATGTATTTACCGAAGCTTCTGGTAATTCCGAGGAAGCAAAGCTTCGAGTCTTTGACTCGTCTTGATCGATAGATATACTTACCTCAGCTTCGGGTAAATCATCTGAAGAATTGTCCTTATCATCGGCATATTCTATATCAGGCTTTTTGGTGAAGTGATCTATAATCGTTTGAATCTGAGAATTAGTAAATTTTGAAATAGTATCCGCACTATATGTTTTGATATATTGAATCTTGTCAATTCTTATTTTTTCGAATAAATATAAACCTTTCTAGCTTTCTGAGTTTGTTTTTGTAAAGTTTTACGCTTGGCATTTAGACCCAAAGGGTCATTGCTCCGCAATAGTTGCGCAATAATAAAATCATAAATCTGCCCTTCTGCTTTCTTCTCTCCAATATTGTCAGATTTCATAAGATAAGATCCCTAACCTGGTTGTCAAATTATAATAATACCAGCACGTAATTTCAGATTGATTAACTTTAATCGCTTGCTTTTCCACATCACAAGCTTTCTGGTACAAACTGGTCAATTTAGTAATACGTAATTTGCTTTTCGATGCAGAAAATAAAATAACATGGTTTTTGGCGAACTTTTCATCAAAATAGTTCGCTGAAATTTCTGTCACATACTTTTCTTCTTCAGATAAAATTATCTCTCGAATCAAGCCCTGTTCGTTTTTCTGTTCACGGGAAGTAGTAGACACAGTATTTTGGGAAATTGAGTGTGCCTCCTGGCTAGGTGATTCCCACTGAAGCTTTTTTTTCGGATTCCTCTCTCTCATAATATTACTAACCCTTTTCTTTTCCTCTAAATCTAGGAATTCATCGATCTCTATATCTTCCGATGGTTTGCCATGGTAATGGCGTTGCTCTGCAACAGGCTCCGTGCAAATAGGTTGGTATATATCAGAATCATTTGTTTCACAATGTATTGAAGTTTCTTTATCGGAGTGGTTTTCAATAGATGGAAAGGTTATTCGTGATTCGGATTGGATTGAGCTATGTTCTATTTAGGGCGTAGGATTGAGAGTAATAGCTTCCTTATTAGGTTGGTTCTCGACTTTTAGCTCGCTCACATTGATATGTGATGAAATATTAGTAACAGTTCGATGACACTCCGTACCCTTGTCTTGCAAACTCTGCTCCTTGATTTCTCTGATATCATCATCTAGCTTAGCAATAAGGTCAGTTTTTTCTTTATCATTCTGCTCTAGTTTCGCGAATCTAATCTCATACTCTTCCATATCCTGTCTTAACTTTGCATTCTCAACTTTAACCTCGATATTCTCAGCCTTGAACTCAGCAAACTTCTTTCTAAGTTCAGTGATCTGGCGAACGAGATCAAAATTTAATTCTCTCAATGTCTTAATTGTGGATTGAGTGTCTCCCATTGTTTTATACAAGATGTAAATATGTTCAAAAGTTCGTGTCTGATAAAATCACGTGTTTTGGGCGAACTTTTCATCAAAATAGTTCGCTGAAATTTCGCCAAGAAAAAAATCCCGATCTAAAAATAGTTCATAATATATCTACAGTACACGAGCGATTATACATAAATATCGTCACAAATAAATTCTTTAGAATCAGCTCTAAACCGCAATTCTCGCTACAACCCGGCCCAAAGGGGCAAGTCTTTAGATTCATATGCATCTCTCCCATTCTTATCGTATACATCACTCGCAAAATATGAAATAATACACAACTCATCTAATAATCCAATTTGTACTAAAAATGAATCATACATTCTTATACTATAGAGAACCAAATCTAATAGGTCTAAAACGCCAAAACTGTTAAATATTAGCGATGAATGTGTCTGGTTTTGATGTTACAACTATTTTCGATAAGAAAGATAGAACATTGCCGAAACCTTTTAACATTCGTCCTGGATATGATATGAAATATGTCGTGTCATATATTGGAAACTATTTCGCTTTTGATGGAAAATGATTCGATGAACTCTTCGATAATGAGAGATTATTTGATACCTTATCTATTATAAAACAGAACGAAACGCCTGTTCAATGGGAAATACGAGTAAGAATTCCATTACAGAATTTATTAACCGCCGGAAAATTTAGTGTATATCATCGATATTGTTTATTTATGTCATTTGGTAAAGGTAAATTTGTCAATTTCGATTATTACAGACCAAAGGTTCATAAAAGTCATATGGCTATTTGTTTTGGTTGCTGGAAACTCATAAAAATCAATGATGCACAACCTAAAAATCATTCCATTTTACTAGATGAAGATACGTATGTTGATTGTCTCGTACCTAGTGATTTGATGATCGGTCATTGGAATAATGAATGAGATAAACCAGGATTATACAAAAAGCTTGGAGAAATTATAAACAGAGGCCTGAATCATTAACAACCCAAACTTGGAATTCTCTAAAGACAGATAATTATCCCAACGATAAAAAGTTTCTAGGAATAACTCCTCAAAAAGTAAATCATTCTGATGGTTATTGTTACATTGACTATAATGGAAAACGATTATTTTGGCATTTCGAAAGTCCTAAATTGTGGGCAGAATCCAAGAAAAGTCTTTTAACTTATAGGCTATATGACTATGTGATAAATTTATTGCAACAGAATTGATAGAGATTAATTGGTGGTAGGTCTTGGTATGTGATGTTACGATGGGTGGAGAATCCTGATCAATACCTTAATAATGGTTGTCGAGACTTTGTGAGAATATAAATTGCCTTCTCACATATATGTTCGAAGTCAGATTGTTGTAGACCCTTTGGGTCATTGCTTTGCAATAGTTAACAATATATTACCTTTGACTAATAATTTTTTCTTAGCATTTTTTTTTTTTTTGGAAGGGATGCCCTAGCTGAAATTTCTTGATAAAATTCTTTAACCAGTTAACTATATATTTTTTTTCGAACGTGAGAGAAAAAAGCTAATACTTTAGACTTTATTTTGTTATCTTTTCTAAAGAAAAACTGGTAATATTTTTTACTTTAATTTTTATATATCAACCCATTTCCACTTGACGCAAAAATCCCTAGTGTTAATAATAGATTACACTTGTTATTATTATTTCAAAGAAATGGCTCTTCGAGCCTACTCATTAAAAAGATCAAGAGATTGGTCCCATCTCTTGCAAGGATAAAGAGAATCTTCTTTTGCTCTAGTTAAATTGATAACAATAAATTCTCTACCTTGCAAATTTTTATCAAGCATATCAACAATATCATGCTATTTTTTTGTATATTGTCAGGCATTATTAACTAGTTAATTATAGGTACTACCATTGAAGAGAACATTATATATTACTAATATTTTTATAATGCTCTTCAGTAAAATAACAAGCAATTTTTTCTTGTATTTTTTTAGATTCTGTATATATATCTTCAAATATAGTTACTGTCCCTCTTTAAGGAGAGAATTCATCAACTTTTGACATTTTATCAGGTTTCATTTCTCAGAATATAACATCTTTGTGATATGGTTTGAGACTATTTACAATTATTTTATAGCAATCTCAAAGATATTTATACTTGGACTCATTAATTTGATAATTGATTAAAATTAAATTATCATTTTTAATATATCTCGTATTACCTTTTTTCCTACTAAACAATTGATATATTTTATTTCTAAGTAAAAAATTGATAATTTTGTTGGTTTTTTCTGATCTGGTTCACACAAAAACCAATAAGTTGAAAGGTTATTGAGATATGGAATTAAGGCCATTAAATTTCTCTATATTTTTGTATTCATCAATATTCAAAACTATCCTTTTAATAGAACCTAGCTTTTTTATTTTCATCTTGATCAAGCTGTCACTAATTATTATATTAAAAAATAATAGCACAAATTATTACTTATACCTAAACAAAATTATGTTTATTATTTTTTATTTATAAATTAAATATTACATATTATATAAAAAATATAAAAATGATTAAACTTTGTGAACAACTTTCTAAATTTATAAATTTCAAACATGATAAAATTTGTTTTTCAGAAACAGAAAAAGATCAATGATTATTTTGAAAAATTATTCAGATCAAAGAATAATAATCAATATTGTATTAGATAATTTTCATTTTTTGCTTCATACTAGATATAATAGTAAAGGTGATCAATTAATATATATCAGGTGGTTAATATACACTACATGAACAAAAGTATCACACATTTTAAATTTATTATTATATAAAAATGTACATAATAACTTTACTTAAAATTTTAATAGGTTATTGTTTATATTTTAAAAAAACATGTGTATAATTTTCGTGTTTTTTCAATAAATAAACATTAAATTAAATATAAATATATCTACTCTTCCAGTATTTTTAATTTCAAAAATGTATCATTTAACTGAAAGTCAATGTGTAATTAGGTTCTCTAAGAATATTATTGTTTTTACAGATATTGCCTATTCTATTGATGAGTATTTTAGTAAAACACTTTCTTATAACTTCTAGTAAGACAATAAGTCTGATGTTTGAGAGTTCACAATTTCAGGATTTAGGCTTAGCTATAGAATTGTCGTGACTAATCTGGCAAGTCCATCACTAATCTGTAGCACCTTATATAATTCAAATGATTAACAAATATTTATAACTTATACAATGAAGAGAATATCTCCTATAAAGAACAATTAGGAAAAATAGAGACGTAATGAGTGACTTGGTCAAGTGTAAGTATTTCTTTATTCATGTTTTGTTTCTTTGTATATCACCAACTCTTATCTCTATTCACAATAAGAGCTGTTTGTATAACACATTTAGCACTGCCTTTTCTGCTTACACTAGTAAACTATTTATATTTTTCTAACTAACAATAGACTATCTACTTTATAATAGGTTATGCTAACTCTAAACTTTGTTAAACTTTCTATATTTGTCAGATACATATAGTTCCTTTATCAGTACCTGAGCCTCAATATATAGTTTCTTACTTTGTGACCCTCAATATTTTATACCAGACTTTCAGGTTTTTAAATTCTAAACCATTACACATAAAGCATGTCACCTATATAATCTATTACAGGATATATATAGCTTTGTTTTCAATATTTCAGAGTAACTTCTTATCTTA